GTACACTCTCATCAGCCAAGAGTGTTCCTCTCGGCCGATGAGAGTGTACACTCTCAACGGCCGAGAGGTTTTCTCCCGGCCGTTGAGGGTGTACCTCTCGGCCGTTGAGAGTGTTTTCTCCCGGCCATTGAGGGTGTACACTCTCATCAGCCGAGAGTGTTCCTCCCGGCTGATGAGAGTGTACACTCTCATCAGCCGAGAGTGTTTCTCTCGGCCAATGAGAGTGTACACTCTCAGCGGCCGAGAGTGTTTCTCTCGGCCAATGAGAGTGTACACTCTCATCAGCCGAGAGTGTTTCTCCCGGCCGATGAGAGTGTACACTCTCAGCGGCCGAGAATGTTTCTCTCGGCCGCTGAGGGTGTGCCATCAGCGGCCGGGAGGAATCCTCCCGGGCTCTTTTTGATCAGCAACACCCAAAGGGACATTGACCCCCAACTCCTTTGGGGGTTGGCCTTTTTTTTATTTAATTTAGTGGTTTTTCGACTCCCAAGCCCGCTGACGGGTTTGGGGGATCGACTCCCATTCCTCGGGGATTTTGGTGGAAATTCCGGGGGTTTTGGGGTTTGGGAGTCGATCCTCCACTTTTTGGGAGTTGATTAGCTAAGACCCTTGATATAAATTGTTGGTCCTGAAGACAAAATCAACTGAAAAATACTCAAACTTGTCAGTCATGAGCTAATTAATTATACAATAACACAAATTTGAATTCCCCTTGAATTTAATGATCAAAAAACATTCACAGGGGAAACAATCTAACATTGGTTCATATTCAATGATCATCATCAATTTTCATTTAGTGGGGTAAAATCTTGAGGGTATTCCAATTCGAATTTTTCAAGCATCATATTCAACGTGATGTCAACACATAAGTATAGTCATCAAACAAAGAATTTTTGCCATTTCAAATACTTCATAAATGATTGAGACTTTCAATTTTGATTGATCAAAGCTTTTAATTGTTGAGTGGATGAAGGTTTTTGAAGTGTAGGTTGCAAGACTCTTGGAACCTGCCATTGCACCTAAGAAACACAGACGGTCATTTGTCTACAGGGTTTGACAGTTGAAAACAAGGCCCAAATTAACTGGAAAATATATCTTCACTGAAACATCAAAAGGCATCTCAGACATCATTTTATCAACAAACATGAATTAATCAGTATTGGTTTGAATCTGTTGATTACCAAAAAGGGAGATCATGGAGTGCAGCTCCAATTATATCCTGTTTGAGTGTCAAAGTTAAGCTACCTGGATCCCTAGTTGAAATGGAATCATCAATTCTCATCAAGATTTGAAAAAGGCCTCAAATCACTTTTTGATAGATCTTGAGGAAATCATGCTCCCCTTACCACTTACAATGTCAAATCAAGAATTGATGATTGGAGTCTTTTAATAAACAAAGCACACAGATATTTGAAGCTGTTGTGCAAAGGCACAAGCACACTCAAAATCAAATTGAGGGTGTGAGTTGGTTGAATGAGATGAGAGAATGAAAATTAAATGCAACAGGTATGCCATAATAGATGAATTCAGATGTCTGCATTAGGTTTTATGAACCTTGTCAATTACCAAGTTTCACCACAATCCACAGCACTGCTAACCAGAGGATGTCTAACTTGAGAATTCATGTGCATTCAGTAATTGTCTATGGATAAGGGTGGGCCCCGGCCCCGACTCAGTCGGGTATACCCGGCTATCCGACCCGGTCCCTCGGAGAGCAGGAGGAGTTTCAGTAACTTTTACCTGATCGAGTACCTCGGGTACAACAGTCGGGAGGACTCTCAAAAACGGTCAGAGACCGAGTTCTATTGCTAAGGAGGAGGGGTCTTCTGGAGGCTTGAAGAGTTGTGTAAATGAGTGAATACTTGTTACTTGTATGAAAAAAAAAATAACCAAATAAATAACAAGGGTTTTTTTGAATCAAACAGAGGACAAGGAAAAATAAGTGTATCGGAAGTGACTAGCGTATGTAGCAATGGTTAAGAGGCATCGTGAGCCTCAAGATCTTCAATTTCGTATGTTGTTGGGTCTAGAGTTCCGATCTTTCGATACCAGTCCTTCAGGCAAAGGAGGTGCTCGATTGTTTTTGGCTGGAGACTACCACGTTGAGGACCGATAACCGATTTCGATCTGGAAAATACTCGCTCGCAAGGAGCGCTGGTGGCAGGAATGGAAAGATAGCATCTTGCCATTGCCGACAGAGATGGATAGACCGAACTTTTCTTTCTCCAGTAGTCCAAAACTACAGTATTTTGTGGCTCATTGGACTCTCGTAAATAGTCCCAGATTTCAGTGTCCAAGTCGTTTGATTTCTGTTCTGCACCAAAGATGTCCGCAAGAATGGAACACTGCTGCTTATTTGATTGAGGTGCGGTTGGATTGCATCTGGCAGGACTGCGATCGAAGTGGCGGGCTGTAACTTTAAAATTTGAGAGAGCAAGTGCAGGATCGAAGGTAGCTAAAATTTCCGATTGAATAAAACTTGAGTTTTTTTCAATATATACCATCTTGATGCGTGGATCGAGTATCATTGCACAAATCGGTGGTTCCTTCTCTAGAGCAGATTTCAGATATTTTTTCAGTTTTTCAACCATCTTTGATGCAGCTGGCAGCAGCTGATGAGCATCATAAGTACCTCGGACTAGGGTGATTTGCTTCATCAAAGCTATGTAGACCGGAAGTGACAAGTTGAGGGTTGGGTATTGTGAGGAACAAAGAAATTTAGTCGCATCGTTGAGGGGTTCCAGGAACTTCATCAGCTGATCGACTTTATCCCACTCAGCTGAC